ATTATAAAATAATAATTTTTATTATTACTATCATTATTATTATTATTATTATTATTATTATTATTATTATTATTATTATTATTACAATTTATTAACTATAACGCGCTAATTATTATATTATCACGATCATCATCATTATCTTCGTCATCATCATCATCATCACTTAGGAAGTCTGTAAATAGATAAAGAATTGTCAATATTACTATGTCATGCAGACGACAGTCGAGGATCAATAAGGATATATTGAAAAAGAAACACAATGCGTTTTACATATTATATATTTACCCTTTTTACACAAACGACGGAATATTCAAGTCTATCCTATTCAATCGAAGGAGCTACGAAAGACAGGAAAGGAAGGTTCTTCCGAAAGTAAGTTATTTATAGTAGGAAGTTGCATCTTTTAGGAAATGAAACAAAATAATTCGACTAGCGTTTTACTTTAATGGTCATTTGTAAATCCTAATTTTTTATTATCTCTCTCTCTCCCTCTTTCCTTCCCTTTTTCTTCAAATTACATCCATTAAGGGTAGGATTGTATGTGATCGACATTATTTTTTATTAAGGAGTCATTCTGGGAACAAAATTTTTAGAAAAATCAATCTTTTTTTGCATGTATATTCATTGTACATAATGTTAAGAATATAGTACAAAAATTCTGACATAAAATTCCCCCATTATTTTAACTTTTATATAGCTTCGAAAAAAATAAAAACGCGGCACAGATATTTCAGAACGTTATCAGAAACTTTTATGCATTTTTTTCGAAACATGATTTTTCGATTTTATTTAAAGAAAAAAAAACTACGTAACCGATTCTATTGTAATTTTTAAATGTTATTCTATACACTATTAGCTATTGGAAAAACTTGAATTCCAATAGAATTTACATAATTACTTATTTAAAAAAATGAAGAATATCGAAAAAGTAATTTTTAACGTATTAATTTTATACAAATCTAATCCATAACAGAATTTTCTCCAATTGTTCATGTCGAGTCAGTAGAAATATAATAATAAGGAACAAAAAAATTCGAAACTAGAGTCATCGTTTTTATTTAAAAAAAAATGCCATTTGACCAGAATGGTCCCTTGACTCATTTGTACTATAATTCTTAATACGTTGACTTTATAAATCAGAAATATTCGATTAACAATTGGTCCCATATCATCGTCAATTTTATTGAAAGATATCAAATTAAACTGTTTTTTAATTTTAATTTTTATTAGAAATATTAAAAACAATCGTTCCCAATGACCAGAAACTTTTGAACAATAATTTAACGAAGTAGAATCTTATAACAAAAAATGCACTAATAGTTCTGAATTTTTTATATATGAAGATTACTCTACTATTGATGATAAGTCACATTTGAGCTACCTATCTGTCACAAATTAATTAATGTAACAAAAGATAAAATAGAAAAAATTGATAAAGTATGTAATATAGATTGTCTTCTCATATATTATTAAACGGCCATATAAAAATTATTGCCATTCATTAATATTAAGGCTAATTATTTAAGGACATTTGTTTTTATCATAAAAAATTTAAGTATCGATTAAGTTGTTTGACAATAAAATTTTTTTAAATTCTAAAAGTGAAGTTAATCACTTTGACCTGTGAAAAGAGCATGGTTATCAAGCACGGATTATACCTTTTACAAAATAATCTTATGGGTTAATATAAATAATATTTCTCAAAATGAATTTCAAGTTGATTATTCATGTGACCATTTGCAAAAAAAAAAATAAATAAACATGAAAAGCATAAGAATTAAATTGTAATATGAAATAAAAGAAAGGGTATGTAATTAACGAAACTACGAAATGGAAACTTTGAAAATATTCTAATTCGAGTTAGTTTGCAATCTTTGTTCATAAGCATACATATTCGAAAGGCACACATCGAACATAGAGGAAGATGTGGGCATACACACATATATACATACACGTTCGTATACATCATACAGCAGTCAGGGAAACTCGTGAAAGTACTCGAAAGAATGAGATACATTGGCCGCCTACCCAGAAATCATCGTGTCGTTGGTTATTACGCGATGGTTATTACTTGCTCCACCGTTGC